CCAGCATCTCCAGACAAATGATATGCCAAGTCAGATGGCGACCACTCCACAGACCGCGGGCAGGGTGGCCACTCATGACTGCACCCCAACCGGTGAGGGATGGATCTGTTGCTAGCGTCGCACGGCGACAAAGAGCTCCCAGCACCGGGCCCTGAGACAAGAACCAAGGTTTCCTCCACATGTCTAAGGCACGTAGGCATCTCCGCGTGACCTTGAACATGCGAAGTGGGTTTCCCCTCGGGGAGAACCCCCTGGTCTTGAGTAGGGGTCTCATGTACAGCAGGCCAAGAGTAATGACGTTGGACGCAGCTGCCATCAGACCCAGCAGTCTTTGAAACTGCTTGACAGTGAGTGACTGACCTTCTTTCACTCTCTTGACTGCAGTGAGGATCGACTCGATTCGAGCAGGAGACAAACGTGCCTGCATCGTGGTCGAATCCCACACCACGCCCAGATAGGTGGTTCTCCATAATGGAGAAAGCACACTCTTCTTGGCGTTTAGTCTTAACACCAGCTCTCTCATGTGAGCGAGAACAACATCTCAATGTCGAACCGCTATCTGCTCTGTACGAGCTAAAATCAACCAATCGTCGATGTAGTTGAGTGTGCGGATGCCCTGGAGTCGCAACGGAGCCAGAGCAGCATCCACACACTTCGTGAAAGTACGGGGTGAGAGTGCAAGGCCGAAAGGAAGAACACGATATTGGTACTCAAGACTGATCTCTGGTGTGCCCAGAACGGCTAGCTCTGGGGACCTCCGCAGAGGCTGCAAGCCACTCAGTGCCGCTACGTTGCTGGGCGGTATCTGACAGATATGCTCGCTGGAGACCGCTGCGCCATGGAACACCGGCAGGGTTGGCAGAACGATCTCCCGAGGGCACTGGGGGGGGACAGGCACCGGTTAATGCGGGGTGACCCTCTCTGCCCCAGAAGGGCCTGCCCTCGCCTACACTCAAATAGTCAGGACCGTTTGGTCGAGGACCTCTTCGCCTGATGGACGGTCCGCAGATCCGGCTTAGGCTTCAAGGCCCCCAACCCAGAGCGCTGTTTTTGCGTCTCCCTATGTGAGGAGCTGGTACGCGGTGGGGACTGCTGCTCCCCAGCAGCCCCCGGAGCTGAAATACGGCGAGGAAGGAACCGCTGAAACGCCGCCGCTTGTTTTCGAGCCTCCTGGTCCCTGTCGACGACTGAATTGACAGCGTTGCCGAACAGGCCAGAAGGTGCAAGCGGGGCGTCAAGGAGGAAGACCCTGTCTTTCTCTTTCATATCCAACAGGGTCAACCACAAATGCCTCTCTGCTGCCACCATAGCTGCCATGGACCACCTAATGGTGCGGGCGGTCTCTTTGGTGGCACGGAGAGAGAGATCAGCGGTTCTCCTTAACTCTGCGATATTATCAGAGTTAAGCTCCTCGCCCTCATCCTGCTCTTTCAGCAGGTCGGCCTGGTACGCCTGTAACACAGACATTGTGTGCAGACACGCACTGGCCTGACCCGCTGCCGCGTACCCCTTGCCCACCAGCACTGATGTTGTACGCAGCAGCTTGGAGGGCAGTGCCGGAGCCTTTAAAGATGATGCCATGCCTGGGGACAGATAGCTAGCTAGCGTCTGTTCAACCTGGGGCATCGCCTTATAGCCACGCTCAGTTAGCCCTGCCACTTTTCCATAATAATCTGAAGCAGGGATGAATAGGCAGACCGAAAAAGGCCTGGCGCACGACCTCGACACCTCGGTGTGAAGGTCGGGGAAAAACGGCAGGCTCCGGCATGGAGGTGGCGGCTTTGCGCGCAGGAAGCGTTCATCCAGCTTGCTTCGCTGCGGCTCGGCCTGCTTCTCGGCGGTCCAATTGATTTTTAGCTTGGCCACGGCACGAGTAAGCACCTCCACTAGCTCCTCATATTGGGGCGATTGAGGGGGCGAAACCTCTTCGACATCCTCCACGTCAACCTCCTCGGAGGAAGACTGGAGAAGCATCGAGCCGTCACCCCGGGAGGAAGTAGCTGCAGAACGGGCTTCCGAACCCAGAGATCGGGCACTGGATCTGGTGGGTGAGGACGGAGATAGGAACTCGCCCGTCTCCATTCCCTCCGCCAGATCCAACTGCGAACCCCACGAATGCAGCCGCCGCTCCGACTCGACGGAAGCGGGGCCAGCACCGCGAGGAACGCTGGCGAAGGCTCCCTCCTCAAAGAGAGCCCTCCAGGAGCGAAGCGTACGCAGTGGGAGGCGCTCGCATTGCGGGCAGCCGGCCCCCTCAAGAGCCGACTCTGCGTGCTTCGCTCCCAAGCAAACCACTCGTGATGTACTGTAACGTGGGCAGGGAGGAACACACAACCTATAACGTGGCTTGCACTCGCCCTTTGCATGCTTTGTCTTAGCGTGAGCCTTAGACATAGCTGCTTATTAGACTTTTTCTCGTAATAGACAGACAACAAAAAATATGACTGACACACATAGAGCGCTTCGCTGAATGCTTTTATAGCTTCCTGGTCATGACATCACCCGCCGTGACATCCCATTCAGCTATTGGACTGATTTCACATGTGATTCAGAGCGTGGGTAGCAGAAGGCGTTCCCCTAACGTTTTCGATGCAGCTTGAGTTCCTGAAGAGGAACTACATTACCCATGATTTTTTGTACCTTTGTCTTTTTGTCTGATTTTCAAACACTTTTAAATTTTTGCTGCAAATGAGTTTGTAATATTGTGTTTTATCTTGTAGCTGGTTAGTTTGTTTCACAACTTGTAACATTTTAGAAAAGATATTTTCAAATCCCTATGGGAAAAACACTTCCGGAACTAAGGTTGCTTTTTTCTACTTCAGAATTTCAATTCAATTTTAATTCACTGTGTTAGTTGCAGTTTCTTTGTAATTAGTGAAAATTGTAGTAAATTACTTCCTATATCCTACACCAATTTTTTATCAGTGTAGTAGCCAGACGTTCTTTGAAAGATCACCAAATGTGACTGACCACTATATATCATTATTGTAGGCTTAGCATAGTGAATTGAGATAGCAACCATGGAATGCTCAATAATCAAATTCTGTTTATTTTTACCCTAAATAACCTATATAGTCTATCTTTAAACACAGACCTTATTTTATATGTAAATTGAAAAGCACCATCCTAAAATCCCATAATAAATCCAGAAGTTAAATACTAATTCTCTTCCAAGTTTTAGGACTACAAATTCTATTGAGTTAATGGCCTTTATCTCCCCATCTGTTCATGCTGGTCCTAATTCTTTAGCTTATAATTCCACCTTTAACTGTTGGTCATTTGAACTTCTTGTGTACCTCCAGTACACACACACACACACACAAACACACAGAGAGAGAGAAAGAGAGAGAGAGAGAGAGAGAGAGAGAGCTCAGCTTCATCACATATTGTGTCACTGTTACTTCACTGCAATACTAATGTGAGCTTTTTTTGTTGTTGCTTGTCTCAGGGAGGCAACTAAAAAGTGTGCTCAACAAACTGGAACACTACCACACCATGGTACCGCTACTGCTGGAAGGAACAGAGCAGAGACCAATCAGCTGGCTCCGCTCCAGAGTAAGAAAGAACACTGTATATTGTTGCTGCATCATTTTTCACATATTTTCCTAAACCTCTAGAAAGTAATTTTCCCTTCCATCATGATGTCTTGTTGCTGGTGTTTATATTTTTATATGAATTTTTGATTTTGAATAGCACTGAGTAGCATATACTCTTTTCAGATGGATAATATATTGAGTCCAGTGCAAGTTCACTTCAGTTCGAAATGGTATAACATAGGACTACGGTACAAATTAGTTCACAATGTATGACTACCATAGTCAGTATCATTATTGAGCCACAGCCTTTTAGCTCTAAAAGGGTCATTTGTGAAAATGAGTGAAAGGCCTGACTGCCAAACGGCACCAGAGGCACGGAGGCTGAGTGATTGAGGTGATGAATGTTGAAAAGTGTTTTGGAGTACATTAGATTAGATTAACTGCCTGAAGTCGTAGCGACATTGTTGCAAAAAGTCATGGGGCCTTTGTCATTAAGGCTTAATTGATTCCAGTCTCCACACTGAGTTACTCCAGCTCCAGTGAATATTACAGTCAAACGTCTTCACAGCAATATCTGACTCTGGCACATGGCTCTTAGAGGCTATTTCACTGCCCATTTTACAGTGAATTCATGTGTGCTCTGAGGCTTAGGCATTGGAAACTCAACACCCAGAGCATAACTGTCTGAAATGTTGGAAATGTCTTTAATGCATTGTTAGGGAAAAGTTTTTTATGTCATGAGAATGCATGCTAGAGAATGGTTGGCTTTGCTTTGCTTTTCAAGGTGATTGCGATTAAACATTTGCAGGTGGAGATTGAGGCTGTGGTGAGGGTAGTGTATTTCAGGCAGGAAATTCCACTCAGAATAAAGGACTTGTCGGCCTGCGCCATGAGAGGCCTGACTGATGGCCTAAAGCCATATCACTACAGCTGGAGTGAGGGAGGACGATATGCTCTATCAGCTGTTTAGCAAGGAAAAGTAGATGGTCATTCTATTATAATAAAGGGAAAGTTGAAGAGTTATTCAGAAATATTTCAGGATCTGTGTGCACACATGCATTTTTTAAAGAGCAGGTCATATGGGTTTTTGAAAAATATATTTTTTTGCAGTTTGTAACGTAGCTATCCTTCAATGTAAACAGTCTGCAAAATTGTTAATCAAAAAAGTCCATGATAAATAAAGATATTGTCTCTCAAAAGAAAGAGTAGACTCTGAACCGCCTTAACGAGTCGTCATATTTTCGAATCCTCTGCCTGTTACCTATATACGTCACAAAGTAACACATTTGCAGGCTTGTGGAAGGGAGGGGTTTACAGACCTTAAATGTGGGGTAAGCGATTTTTCAAAAACGCTTTAGAAAACTGATTCGGGCCGACTAGCAAAACAAACTTGGAGCCAATCATGTCTACTCATGATGTGGAGGAGAGAGGGTTCAGTGCACAAGACGGACATTAGCGAGCCTATTGCGGATAAAATAGAATGTCATGAATAGAACACAGCAGCAGTTTTCTGTCGGGGATTTGTTGTGTCGTGCCACGCCACATCCAGAGTAGACCATAAATATGTATATACAGTGGGGCAAAAAAGTATTTAGTCAGCCACCAATTGTGCAAGTTCTCCCACTTAAAAAGATGAGAGAGGCCTGTAATTTTCATCATAGGTATACCTCAACTCTGAGAGACAAAATGAGAAAAAAAAATCCAGAAAATCACATTGTAGGATTTTTAAAGAATTTATTTGCAAATTATGGTGGAAAATAAGTATTTGGTCACCTAGAAACAAGGTCTCTTTTTTTTTTTTTTTTTTTTTTTTTTTTTGTGCCCTTTTTTTTATTTTTTTTTTTTTTTTTTCCCCCCCCCCCCCCCCCCCAAAAAAAAAATCATGATGCAAAACATCCCCAAACTTACAATTTACTTAACAATTTTAGATTGTACAAAAAACTAATTAATTTGTACAATGCCGGAACATAAATTATGTTTGTATCCTTATTTCTCTGATGTTGGATATACATGAATAAATTAACATAAATTTGTTAAATTCTTAAATTTCATAAAATAACAAATTGTTATAAAAATTGTCTGAAAAGTGCAACAAAAGTATTGAATACTAAACAGTAATTTATGATGTCCATAGTAGAAGATGAATACTGAAAAGTGAATTTACATGTACTTTGTAAAAAAGTGCATTAAACTTCTTACATTTTGATTTAGTAAAATGACAGTGGCTCAACAGTTTGATTTGCAATTTGAACAGCAATCTGATTTTTTTCAACAATCTTTTTTTCTGCAAGAAACAAAAAAATGGCTACTCCTCTTAAAAATAAATAGTTTTACAATATAAAAGAAATATACAATATTATACAAGTTTTACAATATAAAAGAAATCATACAATGCAGACACATCAATTTAGTAACCACTGTACAAGTACACACAACCTGCCTTAGTGGGCAAACTCTCAAGTCATCTTCCACATTAAGCCGTGCCCTGTATTTTGTCTTTATTGCCATCATGGCTGAGAAAGATGTCTCACAAAGATATGTTGTTGGGAAAGGCAGCAATATTTTCATGGCCTGAAGAGCAACCTCCTTGTACTCCTTTTCAACCGTGGGCCAAAATTCTGCTGGGCCCTGCATATTAAATCTCATCCTGAGAGTGCGATCACTGGATAATTCCAAAAGTT